GTTGACGGCACAGAAAAAGTATGACAAAGCCTTCGAAACTTTTGACCGAGCCTTAACAATACAAGACATTTATTTCCACGGCGGTCATCCCGAGACCGTTCATATTCTCACAAATATCGGCAATATTCTTACAAAACAAAAGAAGTATAACGAAGCTCTGGACATCTGGGAACGGGCACTTACAATGCAACAAAAGTATAAACCAAATGATCATCGCGACATTATTCATATAGTCAAGCGTATTAGTGAAATTGAGGCAAAATTAGAAAAGCATTGTGAAAATGATATGACTGCGCCGTAAAAAAAGTACCCATTTATCATTATTTTTCCTTCCGAATTAAAATTTTTATGACTGTTCTGCTCTCTTGTGACTACTGTTCCTATTACCTATGTTGTCTTTCATATAAGCTTTTGTTCTGTGCATGAGAGGAATAACTTGTTGCGTACCAACGCTCAATGAAATGAGCAAATTTCTTTGTTGCAAATACACATTTCCGTTCTTTTTAACATATTGATAGCTTGTTTGAATCTTCAATCGATCATTGAATCTAACACATTCTCTCTCCTATCAATGCTTATTTGTCGTCCATTTTCATTAGATAGAGCGAATGAACGAAAGAAATACGCTAATTATCTGATCGGATGTTCCAAAAATCTAGTTTCAAGCTGTGTAGACTAGCCAATGTTCAGCCTCTGTACAAAGAGGTACACAGAAAAAGAAGAAATAAGATGGCTGAATGCTCTTTCTAAACATTCTTAATATATGATAACTGCAAGCATTCGTTCATCAAATCATCAGTGCGAACAAGATTTGTCAGCATACAATGAATGTTTAGAGATTCAGTTCAAAATATGACTATTTCATCACAAGAATATCATTTATAAGTATAAAAACAAGGACTGTTTATATTTGTTCGGGAAACATGTAACAATACTTTACTCTATTGTGTAAAATTCTTGCGTATCCAAACAAAAAAAAAGTGCGTTTAGAAAATCTTGAGATTGGTCAAACCTACTCATTAGTTGGTGATGTTCTTTCAAAGCAACAGTGTTTTTCCGATACAAGGATCAACAACGGACATCCTTTGAAAATTCAATTCGAGTATCTACCAATGATCGATGTCGAGATTACTAGCGCGTACTATGGAAGGTTGTATACTGGAAGTTAGGAATATTCACCATATTGGGATCAGATGGACGCTCTTTCTGTTAAACTAATAATTTTAAAATATTACGTGCTCATAGCGAACTTGGATTGAGATATTGGATTTTGAAGATGTTCACAGTTTTGGTAAAGAAAAATCATTATATAATAACTATTCACATTCAATTTTTTTGATATAATTATCAGGTGTTTGAGGGAATGAGTTTTAAAATCTTACTGAAATTTATCGATCACAATAGGATCATACTAGACTTAGCTTCTTCTGGAATTTTATTAATATCGAACAAGATAAAAGCTGACAGTTTTTTTTTTATCAAAAACTGTAGATTATGAGTACTTTCGATATCATTTCATAAGAAATCAATAAATTTACTACAAATAGAGATGAAGATCATCAATCAAATGATAGTAACAAAGGTGTTTTTTGAATCATGCATACATTGAAAGCGTTCGCTCCTCACAAGCGATGATTAAGTGGCGAAGGTCATAAAATTTAAAACAAACATTCTTTGTTTTTTAATTCCTCTAATCGTTTCAGTAATTACTTTAACTTGTGTAAACCCACACTTAATGAGTGTTACAGTGCATTTCTATAACATATACTTCAATTCTATCTATTCTCTTTTCTTTGATATTTTCGTTTCTATTACTTTTCTTTGTCCTTGATTAACCACTATATTCTTTTCTATTTTGTCCTTGTTTTTTCATGTGCGTATATAAACATTTACTTTCTCAAAGAATAAATAGAGAGAGAGAAGAAAACACATATATCTTAACTGTGCTCGTCGCTTTTCATGAGCGCGAACCCTAACACCCACACCATTCATCACGCAGAAACTCCTGCAGGTATTCATTAAGTATCTATGAATCAAAATAAACTTGTATACCACGGTAGGAACACCTATACCTTCCAACCCATACTTGTACAGGTAAAAAGTTTCTCAGGAAATCATGGACATCTCCCCAAAACCTTCTAAGTGAAACACCATTATATTAAATCCGGATATATGGGGTTGATGCTCTTCACACATCCTTATTTGTTTTAGTTGACTTCCACGGAGAAATCTGAGTTTTTTTTTGAAAAAACGCCTTTAACGGTCTTTTCTCGAAACTTTGTAAATAACGTGATTTCTTCGTCCAAATGCATAGATTCTTATAGAAGAAGGCATTTTAAGGCCTTTTGGTAAGCAGGCGCTTTGTTTTAGTTGATTTCTATAGAAAACTTTGATTTTTTCCGAAAAAAATGCCTTCAAAGACGTTTTGAAGGAAACTCTCAATGGTTTTGGCCTTCCTCAAGGGCCCAATTAATGACTACAATGTCGATATTCAACTTTGATTATTGATGACGTTCATTGTCAAGATGTGAGAAAAAGTGAAGAGCAATCTCATGTCAGATTTCAACGTCGCTTCAATAGATCTCATTATGTGGCTTCATTCTACTCCAATCGAAGTTGTCGAAATAGAATTTTTATTTTGCAGAATTATTCCAAATAAGAGAGAGTGCAATGATATATCGACTCGGTTCTCCGTTATATTTTGTTACCTCAAAGGTCAAATTCTATAGGCAAAAATAGAGCACGTCGAGAGTGACATTCCAATGGTGAATTAATCTGGCTACGACTATAACTAACTGATCTAGAGCCATACACAAGAGATCATTTAGAACACTGTTTGACTGGTGCTTGAGTTAAATGCTATACAACGATATTCGAGATGAGAAGGCAAACAGCAAGTGGTACAGTGTAAGTTCGTTAATCCTCTATCCATGCTTTTTGCATAAATCCGCATGTTGTTGTACAATTTGGGTCACTACACCAGGATCTGATATGTACTTATACTACATGTATATTATGTGCATCTTTAATCTTTTAATCTAATTTTTTTCGATGAACAACGCAACCATTCTTTCTTCACGCGCGAAAACACACCGTTATTAAATTCTTAGATTGTTTCTACAAGCTAATTTTGTTCTAGATATGGAATAGCAATGTTTTTCCTATAATCACTTTCGCGATGAGACAATCTGGACAACTTTTTCAAAAGTATCTTTCTTTCACAAACATGTATACCAATATTGTTAGTGTCATTGAAAGAGGCCATTTCTTGTTGCAAAAAAAGGATGTGATCGCTGTTGACTATCGTATTACAGCAGTGTGCAATTGAAATCGTACAATCGCAAAACTTTAGGGTGTGAGATATGAGTGTAGGTGATTGAGTGAATGACTATGCGTCTCATAAAAAAAAACACCGATCCACACGAATACTTTCAAGAGTAGTATAATAAAACGGTTTTAGATATAAAGAAACTATTCCTCTTTTTTTGTTTTGTTCTAAATTAATGAAAAAAGATATATTATGATTTCACTCACACATGTGACACATGCAATACCTGACTGATTTACATATTTATTTTACAGATTCAATTTCATGTTAACAGAGAAAAGAAAGATCAAATAGGTGTTAGATAAAAATGGCCACCTACAGTAACTATCTTAACATTGTCTCTTTGTTCTTTTCTAAAGCGGCTGACTGCACTAACTACTCTGTATGTGGTACATAATGTTTTATTTTTATGCAAAACATGAATATGTTACGTCGAATTGATAAATTCGCTATGAACATTTTTTTTAATGATCTATTATAGATTTCATAAAAATTTTAGATTGATTTTGAATTTGAAATTGAAAAGGAATTCATTTTAAGTATTCATTCTAAACTGAATGAAATCATTATTAAAGCAAAACGTGTTTTTTTTAAATATATAAAGAAAATCTAAAAATATGCATGCTCGCCCATGTTGTCAATGTTCCATCAAAACCGACGGTTCGAATAGTTTACTGTTTTTTTTTATATAAAGTTTTTTTAATAGTTTTATTATAAAATTAATATTTTCTATCTTGAAGATATCGATCGCTACTCAAATATTTCTATACAGCGTGACATGATTGAATAGGCTCAATCGTTATTGATAATTCTATATTTGACGAAACATTAGTAATCATTTATGAATAAACTTGATTGGAATCAAAGGACACAACATTTATCATCGAGTCGTTTAACCTTATCAAGAAGGACAATGTCAGGTATGATAAAGAATCAATACAAATACATATAAGTAGACGGCAATTTAAGGCATTTCTCATTAAAATGAACCATTCAACAGTTAATATCCTTGGTCTATGCAACGAGATATTGCTTGACATTTAGAACAAACTCAATTATATTGATGTTCAATGGCATGTTGTTTTCTCTCAATATTGAAATATCGAAGCTAAATCGATTCGTTTATTTATGGCACAGATTTAAATGATAACCAATAGATTATCTAAAATTTTGAAATGTAATAAGTTTCCTCACAAAAGATATCGATATTGTAAAATATTAAACAATAAGAAATCATACAAAAAAACAAGCATCATCATGAACATATAATATCAATCCACATTTTTATTTCGTTCAATTTTTCTCAAACTAATCTCGAAAGTATGATGATTTCTTATGAAAAATGTCAACGCCTGACATCAATCATTACTGTTTTATAACTGGTTCTATAATTCAACAAATACGTTCGTGAAGAGAAAAGAAAGAAAAAAAAATATTGTCAATACATCATTACATTTGAATCTTGGGTGTATGTATTTCAAACAAAATATCTCTGTAATGTACTATTACTATTCTATTATATATATTAGGATTTCCATAAAGCACATATGGTCAAATGCAATTGACTATTCATGGGAGCTTTTGTCATCTGTTGATATTCTTCAAAAAATTATCAGAATAAAATCACTATCTGTGAAACACAGCAGACGACATTTATTCGACAAACATTTTCATGTTAACAAGTATCATCTTCTTTGTTTTTTCATTACCATTTTTCGTCTTCGGATGTGGTATTATAACACATATCGAAGTGTCACATCGTGCACAAGATCTTTGGTTACATCAACCTATCTATCGAAATTATACTCTTCAACATCAAGATGCATTACAAGGTGGATCTCCATATCCTGATGTTATGTATGATGGTGTATGTTATCGTGGTACTTTACATCAAGTTGCTGAAGATACACATTGGTAGTAAAAATCATAAGATTGAAGTTATTTTTTTTTTCTTTTCTAAATAAATTCTTTTAGGTATCCATTCATGAAGATTGCTATTGAATATATGCGTGATCGATATCCACCACCTTTACAAGCAGATAATATACAAGGACAAAAATTTCTTGCATTTCTTCTTGGTGTAGCATCTCATCAAATAGCTGATGTTGTATGGCATGGTAGTTTAACAGGTTGTCCAAATGGATTTATTGATGCAACAGCATGGGAAAGTTTTAATGGAGATGAAGAAATGGCACATTCAAGTGTTGATCCAGGTGGTGATAGTGTTATTGATTATGAATTACCTATTGCTTATATCGGTAAAATTGCGTTTTTGTTTTTGTTTTTTTTTTATGTTATTTTATTTATTCTATAGGTTTAACTAATAAATGGTATGTGCCAAGTATTGAATTACAAGAACTTTATAAAAGATATGCTATTGAATATGATTCACCATTAGAAACAAATGCAACTGCTGAACGTGTTCAAGTATGTTCTGATTTAATGTTCGTTGGACGATTTGCTGATGCTTTATTTCTTGGTTTTGAATATCCAAAATATTCTTATAATAATACATTTTTACTTGATCATCTTTATGAATATTATCATGGAGGTTTATTAAATATGGCTCATCAAACAGTTCGATATTGGGATCAAATCATAGCTATGTATGAAAAAGGTACTGATATATGTCAAATACCAAGTAATAATCCATATTATTTAAATTGTTCAATACCTCATTCAATTATATATGAACAAGAACAACAATCAATAACATATATTCGTTCAAAACCATCAAATTATCTTCCATTTTCTAGTCATTCTTATTCATCATTACCAACATTACAATATAATGAAATTCATACAGGTCTCATATCAAATCAAAGTTATGCATCATTCGGTTATACAACACTTTTTGGTGATTTTAATAATGATAATTTAATTGATCTTGTTATATCTGCACCTGATTATTATAATTTTGGTTGTTCACAAGGTGGTCGTGTTTTTATTATTTATGGAAAAGAAGACCAACCTCCTATTCCAGAAGGTAATATCAGTATTATTGAACAAATAGCTGATCAAACATTAATATCACCTGATTGTGATGGTGATCGATTTGGTACGGGATTAGCTACTCTTGATTGGAATAATGATGGTTTTAATGATCTTGTTATTAGTAGTCCATCACATGGATATGGTTATCGTGGTGCTATATTTATTTTTGCTGGTAGTAAAGATGGTCTTCAAATAAAACCATTTATACGTATTGATGGTGTTAATGAACATGATACTATTGGATTTGAATTACATACAGGACATCTTGATAATGATAAATTATTAGATTTAATTATTACAAGTCCTTATGCACAACCACATGGTTATGATCAACCACAACAAGGAGCTGTTTGGATTTTTCTTAGTTCAGATTCTATAAATAAACAACATAGATCTGATCGTCAATTAACAATTAATAATGCATCATTTACAATCTATGGTGAAAATGCAAAATCAAAATTTGGTTATTCACTTCAAATAATTCCTTCATCATGTATTAGTCACATAACATCATCTCCAGTTCTTTTAATTAGTGCACCAGCTAATCAAGGAAAATTATATATGTATGCTATTGAATCTCAACCTCGTCTTATATTAACATTAGAACATTTACAAAATAATGCACATTTTGGACAAAGTTTTTCTATTCAAAATGATAAATGTTGGTTAGCAGTTGGTTCACCAACACAATCAAATGATTGGTATGGTTCTATAGATATTATTCCATTGATAAATCTTTTCAATCAACAAAAATTTCATCTTGATTTCAATGATATTCCAATACTTATTTCTATTCATGGTAATCGAATATTTGAACGTCTTGGTACTAATATTCAATGGACATCAGAAGGTGATTTAGTTATTTCAGCTCCATTAGGAAAAGGAAAAATATTACCATTACAATTAGAAAAATCTGAAGGTTTTGTCTATATTGTACCTGCTAATCGTATTCCAACTCGACCTGATCCAAAAATTCACTATATTGATAAAATGAGTTC